GATTCCTCAGATTCTCCACATTCAGAAAAATATATATGTTGTCGAGCGATTTTGATTTCGTGAGGAGATATGGCCGATTTCCTGGGGTATATCGAGCAGATAAGCGGCGCTCGTTTCAATTCTCTCTATCTCTATTGATCATTCCATACATCAACACAACAGTATGTGGATATCTATCTTCAAGCAATCGCTTTTCTCAGGTCTGTTAAAATTAAGTAAATTTTTAGAAAACTATAAATGTGGTTGAGTAGTTTCGCTTTCATTCAATGAAATAGCTGATTTCAGAACTGAGCGATTGCTGCCCATTCCAATCATTTCAAGTGCATTGATAAATCTATCCTAAAACTTTGCGAAATCATCTACACCATCTTTCAACTACAACTGCCATCGGATTCTACATATTCTCAGCCATCCTAAAAGTGTAATATTTGTGTTATCGAGATTATCTTTTATGAAATTTCAAGCAAATTTTGTGATTATACATTTGTTCAGGCGTCTGGTCGTGGATGTAAACGTCGATAGACATTCATGAGTCTGAGTGATCCCCTATGCTACATCTTACGTTGTACGGAAAGAAGGATGTCAAGGACTTAAGAATGATATAAGTGGTAACAGATAGTAAGTTGTAAGTGCTGATTAAAGAAGTAAATCAAAATCCTCTGCGAATAGTAGTATTGTTGTAAACTGTTTGTGAGCATTTCAAAAAGAAAAACATTTTTTCAGCCAACAAGCTAACGATGCCTGACAAATTACCAACAGTAAGTTCAGTCATGCAAATCATTATTCCAATGTATGTCCCTGAATTCGACTTCTTCGTCGTTCTGCGCTAACAATAATTATGTCTCGACATCATTGTTATCAAAATTATCATTTTCATCCCAATTCCATTTTACTCTATCGTATACAAATCATTGTATAAGATTATCGTCTGGTGAACGGTTCCGCGTGGTACTGCTGGTTATATTAGGCTTGTTTTGGATTGATCAGCTCGTTATCGGGTCAGAAATCGGATAAGATACACGGATAAGAATCAACAAAAATGAATGCGACCGATTTGTGGGCAAGTGTGCAACGCGAAGCTGCGCTTCTATCACGTTTTACGAATGCTGATGTTAAACTGACGTATGCATGTGCTTATAACGCCGCTTCTAGGGATGTGCTCGCTAGAGCAACCAGCCCAACGAGACAACGAAGTCTAGCAAGCCCATTGTCCAGGTTGCTTTCTGAGAGCTTTACAATTATGAGTTATTCAGCATTTTCTGTGTATCATTCCATTCGTGAACAGAATATGAGATGAGTGGAGCAAAAAAAGAACGATTTTACGGAATCAGAGCAGTTTTGAATGGTTGAATAGAAGCTACTGATCGATCACTAGTGCCGTTACGATGCTTGAATGGGTATCGTGCAAACGGGAGAAATCCTTTATGCTGTTTCAAGTCGCTTTGCAAATCGTCGATTCCGTTAACTAACTTTGCATGAGTGCAACTCTTTGACTTCATTTGAAGACAAATGCGCATTTATTAAACAATTCTATGATCGTGCAACTTTCAAATGTTGATTGCTATCGTATTGTACTCTTCAGATCTTCGTCATCTGCTAGATGTGAAATGCCTTCACCATTAAATGCTTCTTCCAGCACTACATCCCAGACTCAAACTTCGACTGCTGTACCCTGTTCACTTCCAAACACAACATGCTCTGTACGCTGAATTGCTCATTTTTAGTTGTGATCATTTTGGTATTCGTAATTATTCGGTTATTATTTTGATGTGACATGAGGAAACAAATGAATAAATTGATGCGAAATTGTCAAAATTTTGGGTTTGAGCGGCATCATTGTTTTCGACGTGAACTGATACCGTTCTGATATATTCCGTGTCTCTTCTACGGACTAGTTCTATGGAATTTATGAGGGTGTCACCATTTCATCACTACTTCCTTCAGTTCTTTCATTCGCATTTTTGATTCGGATACCGAGTTCGACAAGTCTTCCAATTGCTCATTCAGTTATTTCGCTACCAACTTGTTCAAGTGATCGATTATTACTGAGTTTTGTTATGCGCATTCTATAAGCAATGGAGCGTCGATGTTTTAGAGTTCAACGACGTACATAAGAATTTCAAATCCTGAATCAGAACCACCTCCACCATACTCTTTGGAATGCAGCAAAAAGGTTACCAATGACTTTCCCTTTCTAATCTTGACAGATTTGAAAAAAATGAGTCTATGAACGCGCAGTGACTGCGTAATTTCATCGATTTGTTGACCTATTCGTAATCGGAAGAAACATTAACCAGTGAAAATCTGAAACAAAATGTTATCCGGACATGAGATGTTATCTCTGTTTATGCAGTATACAGTGTGTATGTCATTCACATTAAAGATCAACTTGATGAACAATTTCAGCAATCTGTGGTTTCGTATGTATGCGGCAATTTCGTCAACGGTGTGTTCCAAGATGAACCCGAATCAATTGATGTAATCAGTCACTTAATCACTCCCCACTCTTGAATCCAATCCAATGTGAACACCTCTAATTAACGGTTGTTCTCAATCTGCGCTCAGTCTTGAGCGCAACTTTCATTGACGTATTCAGTTTCACTTGAATGCTTCAATTTCTCTCATATTTGCTAGTCCTATGAATACCTGTCGCTCAGTAGAAATGATTTTTTTATTTGACGCAATATAAACCTTGCATACCTTTACGCTTCTATATTTTCAGAATCAACTACCACCACCAGTGAAGAGAACCGTAAGTGGAATGCTCTTTTGGAGATCCTTCAGCATTTCTATGATTCTCTTGAATTCACCAAAAATATTCATTCATTAACTGAGAAATAACATCGATGTTAGGTTTATCGCTTAGAAAAAGCCGAGCAAATTATCGCATCGCAGAGGTTCATGAGAAGTCACCTTAAAATTTGGTCAGCGAAATAATGGAATAGCTTGAGGTTCAGAACAGTGAGTAGAGTAATTACCATCTGTAATATGGAAGCTGCATAAAAAACGTTAATTTCCCTTTCAAGTTCCGTAAATATGTCGTTTTACAGTGAAAAAGTCATATGTATGAAACATATCGACCGTAAACCATAAGAATTTCAGTATTCTCTAACGTCATGCATGCTTGGCAAGTTCGTAGATGGTAAATTTGTGACTGGAGATGATGGCAATGTGGGTTGTTTCATTGATTGATCTGATTTCAAGATTTTTTGTAAGGATTTCGACAACCACCCCAAAATTATTTGGAATTATTATTCTGAATGAGGTATTCATTTAAATTCTGATTGAAGAAATTTTCGAAATCGCTTGGATCTTTCTGACTCGCGAATTTCTTCATCCGGAGAGACATACTGCTCAAATGAAGTAAATAAGACAAAACGAAATCTTGCTGGTCCTCCAATCGGGAGCTAGGAATTACTCAGAACATACACTTAACTCATAGAAACTTCCGTGTCCGGACAATCTGCTTAAAGACGTTTTGCCTAACGACAGTTTGCCTAAAGACACATTGCCTAACGGACAGTTTTTAAATGGATATTTTGCCTAATAGGCAAACTTTCCCTAGGCAAACTGTCCTTAGGCAAAACGTCTTTAGGCAGATTGACTGGGTACTGAAACTTCAATGTTCAAAAAAAAACCTTAACCTTGTCAAAATTCTAACAAAAAATCTTGAAATCAGATCAAAATGAAAATGTCGACTTCATTTCATTTTCATTAAAATATTCATTTTTCACACTTTATTACCCAAAAGGCTACCTACCAATACATCAAACCAACTGTTGTTTTTTTTTTTCAGCTGATTGCTTTAAAAATGATCTAATCGTTCCATCAGTTAATTCGTGCATGCGATGACAAGATGCCACTTGAAGAGTATTATTCTGTTTCTCGTCATCAAAAAACTTCACATTTCAGAGTTTCACCTCACATTCATCAGGGTTGTCTGAGAACGACAATAAAAATTATCACAATAATAATAAAAGGACAGATGCGTCCCCTACGCCAATTGGAGTGAAGCATCATCGTCGTTATAATAGTAACAGACGCGTTCGAAACACGTAATATCCGAAAGTCTTTGGAAATGCGAAGATTCTCAAAAGAATTTCCGTTTTGAATGCATAATTTCTCGTTTTATGTGTGAAGTTAATTCCGATCTTTTGCATGAATTGTATTCAGAACAATAATGCATCTCAACAAACCGTTCTAATAACAGTTACATGCATATCCAATTCTGGTGTGATTACATAGCAATTTTCATAAACAATATGTACCTACATTCACACATGCAAAATATTTCAACAAACACTTTGAACTGAAGCATCGATTTAGTCAAATCTTCAGCAAACACTCAAAAACTTGCATCCTGGGAGGATTTGCACCAAACAAATTGCAGAACATCACTAAATATGACTATATTGTGGCATAACTGACGATTTGGCGATAATCTGAGCGGTATATCGCGGTGGCATACATTTGGGCTTAGGTTTAGACTGATGCTGATATCATGGCTGAGGTATTTATCAAACAAATAGATTGTTCAGTCATATGGTACTGAGATATCTATTAAACAAGCAGATGCTGGAACAATGCTTCTTCTCATAATCACACTCAAAACTGCCAACGTATATGAGACGGAATTCGGTTCAATCCGATTGATCATCTTGACTCTGAATGATCAACATGGTACCGCAAAATATCACTGACAGCCCAAACCACCATTGAAGGGAATGCAATTCTGCGAAGAAAACAGCACCGAAAATACCCTGAAACTTCGAAGATTGTTCACTTCTCAACATCTTCACAAAAACGGAATATTAAAGGCTTGAAAGTATGATTATGTTGTGGGTCGAAAACACTAACGTATCATCTCAACACGTTTCATATAATCTCTACATGCTGCAATTCTGTTCCAAAAAAAATCAAAAATTTTGAGGCGGTCTGATTCAACTGAATCTAGATTCTTCTGCTAAGAGGTACTTGAGAAACCAATAGGTATGTTACCGTAAGGATGAAATTCGTTGCCGTGTTAATAGCAACTGCCTGAAATTAGAATTATTTAATAGCTTGTATTGACATCTATATTGTACCAATATTATCCTAATAATACTGTCTTAACAAATCATTTTTGCTTGATATATGATATCAAAAGGAACAAATTGTACTACCTTAAGCGATGAGGAAGCTAAACGCATCGCAGTTGCATGTGCCCACCACATTAGTACATTACACAGAATATAGCCGAATATAGACCCGTAAAATAACAACTGAAATTATAAATCTCCTCATTCGTGACATACCTTAATATTATTCCCTAACATGTAATCGCAATCAGGCTGACAATAACCCAAAAATCTACTTATCTTCAGATGAACTGAATGAACAAAACAAAATTCAAGATGGATGCCTCCAATAATTCTCATACACCGCTAAATTCTTAACTTTTTTACTTTGGTCAGATAATGTGTAACTTGTGATTCTTTTGAATAATATCCGAATATGTTCTCAACACCTACAACATATTATTAGTTCATCCGATATGATTCATTAATCACGCTTCTTGAAGTATCATCCTCATTTAACACTAATAGATTTGCAGAAGCATTCTTCACAAGGTTCTAGCTGATACTAACTCTTTATATGAATTTTTGTTTTTTACACACATTCTCATCAATCTCATTGTTTCGTTGATTTTCTCGACGATTTCTCAATCTTTTTCAGTTTTGTCATAATTTTCTCATTCTTTTCCAGTTTCGTTATAATTTTCTCATTCTTTTCCAGTTTCGTTATAATTTTCTCATTCTTTACTGGTATTATATCATAATTTTCTCATTCTTTACTACTAACGTTTTCTGAGTAATCTCATTCCATTTCATGCACTCTCTATCGATGTCTTCTCTAGACCAAACACAGTGCAGATGCTTTCAATTGAATACGGTCACATGTTTAGGTACAATGTTAATCTATCGGAATCGATCATGATTTCCTAGAAGTTGGATAGATTCGTTAAAAAAGAGGCAGTATTTCAACCTGATTTGATGAGGTACTTTCACCCGAGAATGCTAGTTTTCCGAAGACAGCCGACAGTGAAGCTAGACTTCCAGCCGTCACTGCATAATACCACATTTTTCGAGTATTTCACAGAGGAGTGTCTACCTTCAGATCAACCAGATCAGACCCTCATAGGCTGCTGTCTCATTGCAACCGAATTCACTTGAAACGCTGGAAATTCTGTCGAAATATGAAAAGTTCAGAGAGTAAACGGTCTGAATATCATCGAAATGCGATCAACGAATCGGAATCAGAATCGAATTATCACGAAAATGAGAAATCTCTTTCGAAAGAATATTTCCTTGAGGAGGAAATCTGATCAATCCGAATTAAATAAGACACTCAATCAGCTGGATTTGTTTAATGGCTGCAAGATCTGTGCGTGACACGCTGTTCGCATTCATTTGAGGCGGGAGTTGATAGCGTGAAATATGAAATATGCAAATCGGAATCGCTGATTCTATCTATTTTCTGGATTATTTCTAATCGTCTCGTTCAGGGAAATCTCCATGAAGAGATTCATGGAAATTCCTTTTCGTTTTCAATATTCTTGGTTGATTGATGTGATTTTTGCAATAATTATGATCGTTATGAGCCATCTTCAACGATCAGTGTTACGTAATGTGATATGAAATGTTTGTAATAAAACGGTTTTCGTATATCTTCATGCTATTCGAAACTAATGTGATGATGAAATTGTTAGTAAGGGATCATTTCGAAAATATAGAGTGCAAATAAAGCATTCAGATTAGCTCAATGGCAGATAGTTCACAAAATTCAAGTAATCCAAACGCGGTTGAAGAAGACCCTGGCGAAGGTCCGTCTGTCTCGTAAGTTCTTATCCACGCATGCTTTTCATCTTAATCTGTCTATTCGACTGCTTAAAACTCTATTTTGCCAGTGTCATCTTCATCACGTCTTTTTAACCATCTTCATTAATCATCTTCATCTCATTTTCGGTTGTGTTTTAGCCGTGCCAGCCGAATAGAAATCTTAATGAATGAAGGGAAACGCGATTATCTTGACGGATTTTTTGAATTGGCTTCGCAGAAATTGTCAAACGCCCTATCACTATCGTAAGTTTCACTATTTTCATTCATTATTATTTTTTTATTCTCAACTTTATCATCACTAAGTTCACTTATTCCACTCTTAGTCAAATATTTCGTCAGTGCCTAAATTCATATTCCGAAAAATTCATTCGTGTTCATTGGTCTTGAATTCATTAATTCCGTCAAAGGAGCTTTGAATTCGATCGAAAACAAAAACTGTATTTTTGTGATTTTCAAATTAGAAACGGAACTGAATTATATATGTTGCAGTAGTGAAGAATATGGTGATTTATCTCCAGAATGCTTCGAACCGTGCTTCTACTACGCCAAAACTCTCGTCGATTGGACACGTTGCATTCCGAATCTGAGCGAAACTGAACACTTATCAGAGCGCTTAATTATCGAACAACTGCACAAATATCTTTCGCAACAACAACAAAGCTCTTCCCAGTTAGGTTTGTTGTTGATTTGTTCAGAATGTTTGACTTGAATTGTTTTGAAATGAACAAACAGGATCTTTCATTAAACGTTTGCTTATTTATACTGTTATCATTGTCTGTAAAAGAAGAAACGGATCAGTTTCACATCATTGTTTGCTTTTACTAGGTGAATTTCATGTCATTTCATCCAGTGATGCTTTGAACGAATGCCTCACCATCCCAAAACCAGTATGCATACTCGTTTGTGAGTCTTATAGTCATTAATAATTTCAGTTAATCGAGAAGTTCCAAATGAAATGGCCGTCCAAGATGCTGATCAGTCGAAATTGAACGGTTCGTCTGAAACAGTATCCGTTGAGCAAGACCATCGACTGGAGACAGTTCAGTGTAGTTCTGGGCATTCGGAGGGAGCGGCGAATGGTTCAGGAGAAGGCAATCAGCAAGGAGAAAGTCTTCCCGATAAGGAGGTTGATAAAAATAAGAGCCAAGATGGACATCCAGATTCGACGGCAGAAGATGCGCAGTCGAAGTCAGAAACCGAAGACGACCAAGAACTCGGAAGTTGTGACGATTATGAGGAAGATGAAGATGAGGGCGATGAGGACTCGGATCGTATGGCGATAGCATGGAATACCTTGCAAGATGCATTGCTAATCTGTGAAAAGTATATATTTCACATTATCAATATCATTATTTTGCATTCGCTGAAAGGTTTTTCGATCGAAAAGAAACTATTGTTGATGGACAACCATTTTTGTTCCGCGTTCATCAACTTCAACGAACAACTGAACTACTTGCTCAGTCAATATGAGTGTCTTTAAAGTGATCATTCAGTGATTATTAGCAGTATTCACAGTGATGGATCAGTGTGATGTTGCACTGCTAAAAGTTGCGATCAGTTGAATTGTTGAGTGGATTTAAAGGAGACACGTTCGGATCCTATGCAAGATTCATTCCGCTGAATGTTTGCAATTCATGAATCACAACGAAAAATTTCATTGCTTTTCGTATTTTCGTCGTGAAATTACGTTGCTAATTCAGTTTTGCGGACGGAGGCACGAAATGGGCTGAGCGAAAAGCTGAAACGTTGTTCGCTTTGGCCGAATGGTATTTGCAAGATACAGATTATGAGGAGGCAATTGAAGCGTTAAAGTCCTCCGTCGAGCTCTATCCAGACTCAAGAGATCGACGTATCGCTGCAGCTTATTATGAGCTGGCCAAAGCCTATGAACTGATGGGAGAATCGCAGAAGGTGACTGAATCTCGTCAAAAGGCCAGCAACTTGCTGGTTGAACGATTAGGTTCGATATGAGTTTCTTTTTTTTGCATTTAAAGAGAGGGCATTATAGTATTGCGAACAGTGTTTTTATTAGAGATTGTAATAGCATTCATAAGTGGTCGATACAGATAGGATTAAAATGGATCGGCTTTCACTGGATTAGGTTTAAAATCGAAATGAACGCTGAGAAATTCAACCGCTTCTGTCAACAACTAATTGATCCGTAGCATAACGAATCTGATTCACGATTGATTGGTCAAGGACTATGAATATTACTATCTTACCTGATGAGCTAGCTCCTTCAAACCGAACGAACTAATTGTTGAATTGCGGCTAATCAGAACTCGATTTTGATTTGATCACAGCTAGATGTTTCATTGTTTTACTCTGATACTGAGAGCTTTAATTTTTTTTCAGCATTTTTGGAGAAAGAATCTGCAAAGACAATGTCCTTGGGCGCTTCCGATGATGCGAAAAAATGCAGTGTTATGACAGAAATAGAGGATCTCAAGCAGATCGTTAGCGATCTGAAGGAAGATTTGATCGCTCTCAATGTGGCAGATGCTGCTGAGGATAAAGCAGTCAAAGAATCTGAACAAGTAAGATCCTTTGAAGAGCAGAAAATTGATTTATTTTTATCATTAAGTTTTATTGTAATCATTTTTGCACTGTCATTGTGAAGTTAGTAATTCTGGTGAAATGATGTTGTCGTCATAGCCAGATTTTATTCATTCGTAGCGTTGTGCAATCTGTCTTATCTGTTTGTTTGATTGATGAACTTATAGATATTGATCAGTTCAGTGTGAGAATTTGAAACGTTTGAATACTTTTGATTTGTTTCAGTTTAATGAACGTCGTTCTACAAACGGCAAACTGAATGTAGATGATAAAGAAGGCGGCAGTACGATTGGATTACCACGAAAGCGTTCAGTAGATAGCGCAGAATCTATGGGGACTAATGGAGTTAGAGACGCAAAACGGTCGAAACTTCACGAGGAAAAGTAGATGGGAATGCTTTATGCTACGTATTCGATGAAATTTTGAGAGAATTGTGAATGATATGAAGTGTTCATATTGATTAACTTTCTTTAAATTATTATGTCAGTATCTTGATAAGATAGGGCTTGGAATTTAGGTGGGATGAAGCATGAAATTGGTGTCGTTTTTGATTTTATTAGCTGTTTGGATTGAGTGAATTCAGTTTGATCTCATGTGGTTAACATCGTGTTGTGGACCTTTTCGAAAATTTCGTCCTTTTGTCCTTCGTTTTCAATTGTATTGTGTGTCCATGTAGTGTTACGCACGAAATTCAGTTGTTTTCATGATTTAAAATGTTTCGGGAAATAAGCGCTTTCATGAAGACAAGAAATTCACGTTGATTTATAGGCGTTATATGGTTTTCTGACTTTAGTCATTCTGCATGAAATTGGTTGCATAATCCACTCGCATCAGTTTTTGACGTCGAACCATCTTTTTTTAAACATTGTTTTTCAATTTGCTTTGTAGTTCTAAACGTAAGGCATTATCATATTACCTCATGTAACCTACTCGTTGAGATATTCCATTTTGTTCATTTACGATTGCTGTTCATATTTCTGATGAGATGTAATTCTTTTTTTTTGTTTCAAATTCATTGTTTATGTTGAATTTGTTAATTTATTTTTTATACAGTTGCCTTCAATTCGTTTCAATTTTCATACTATAATTGGATGTTCGTTTGTGTATTCGTTAAGATTTTGTACAAAGTTTTTTCTGTTTCTCAGGAATAAAATTTTTATCGGAAAGGGTGACCGATGTGTTTTCTTATGAAAAATATGAGTTGTTCATAATTCACTCAGTATCGATAATACTTGATATTACTCACCTTTTGGATGATTCACCTAATTCGATAAATGTTTGCGAATGCTACAGAATAGTTTACACTCTTCTTACCGCATTCATTCATGTTGAAGTTTCTCTCTTCGTATTGTAGACTAGGAATGATTTTCGGTTATAAGAAGGATCACGCTCACAGTACGGGAGAATATTCGTAATTTTGCATCTTTCAATTGATCAATCTACTGGTATTTGAGGTGGTTTTGAATTTTGCCATTAGTCTGCTTGATTTTTAAAGCGGTCATTTAGGTTCTCAAGTAATTTTGTCGTGTGATTTGGATGTGTATGCATGTTGAACTGCGCTCATAGTTTGCGTGTTTGCGCCTATCCTATAGCTGATGACAATTACGATTACGAGAGTAATGGTAACTGAATGAGTATCTGCAGGTCGCAACTCGCAGTTTCTAACCAACAAATTCGAACCTCTATTCATCTATCACATTTCACAATCGAAAATGGTACCACATTCAACAGAAACCACAACTGAAGCAAACGACGCTACAGTTGAGGAGCAGAATCCAACAGAGCAAAAGTGAGTCCTTATTCCGGTGTGATGTTTCGATGAATTTTGTTCATTTACGATTGTTGTTCATATTTCTGATGCAATGTGATTCTTTTTTTTTTTAAATTTGTTGTTTGTGTTGAATTTATTAATTTATTTTTTGTACAGTTGCCTTCAATTCGTTTCAATTTTGTGACAGTGAGATGTGAAGTGCTGAATCTAACATTGTTCCATATATAAGTGTATGTGGTTGGAAGAGATTGCATCAAAGTTTTATTATTGTTACTTCTATCATATCTTTTGTTGTTTTTCATGAACTTGTTTGACAATCGTTTGATATTGTGTTAGTATTAGAGGAATTGAACGTTAAGGTAAGTCGCCAGTTTTATATCACGTTTCTTGTGGAGCAGTTCTGGCCGATTGGAAATAATTTGCTTCTGTATGGGTATTGAAAAGCGGTCAGGGACTAGCGATTTGAAATTAACTTATCGTCATACTGTCAGTTCAATATCGATGCCATCGCACCACAGCATTTTGAGGATTCGACAATAATATTTTTTGCGTCTCTTGATATGTTCCTTAGAAGATCATATCGAACAAAAGGCAGCAAAGCTTATTCGTCATCTTCAATTCCTCACAGAGCCTAATTGCATGCAGAATTTGTCGCATCACATAGAATCTGAGTGATGATCGATTCGCAGTGAAACATTAAATGAGCTTTCAGTGAGAGAAGGCAACAAATCGAATCTTTGGAAACACTCTTAGCAGATGGTAAAAAGGCATACATCGTTGGAGATTTGCAGACAGCATCAGATAAACTGGGTGAAGCTTCTGCGCTCGCGTAAGTGTTTCAATAGGCTTTGTTTGATTTTGT